GGGGGGGCATTTTTTTGTACGGCATACACAAATTTGTTTTTAAATCTGAATGTGCCAGCCTGGGAGCAGACAGAAACCCCCAGGGCACACAGCTGAAGAACTGTCTGGCATTTCTGAGAACAAGAGGGCTGTTCTGTGCCTTCTGGAGAATATTCCTCCATTGGACAAACTTAGTTCAGGCATGAGTGGTAGTGCTGTCAGCTCTGCCTCCAGTGTTAATGAATCAACAATGTGTGTTTAAAAAGTGATTTTAACAGAAACACACATAAAACAAGGTCATGCACTGACCAGTTGACGAAAATATTGTGACCAGAATGTTGTGACCCAGCAATCTGCACAAATCAGAAGCAAACTCATTTGCAAACTTCTGCTCAATTCTCAGGCTCTTCCCTCGCAATTGAAGGCAACAGCCCCCCTTCTGGATGTTCAGGCTGGAAAACCTAGAATTATCCTTGACTTCTCTCACCAAAACCCCGCTTCCGATATCTCAGAAAATCTTCATGACCTTGACTTGGAAATATATTTGGAATCAGACAGTGTCTCATCACTTCTGTTGTTACCAACTTGGTCCAGGCCCATATTATTTCAGCCCTTCTAGCTGGTCTCTCTTCTCCCACCCTGGCCCCTCCCCACTGCCRTCTATCCTGATCCCAGGCTCCATCCCAGGAGGATCCTGTTAAAACTCAGATCATGACCTCCCTTAACTTAGAGCCTCCAATGGCTGGGCATCATCCTGAGCCAAAGTCAAAGTCTCTACAGTGATTTCCAAGTCCTGGTCTGTACATCTGCAGCCCCTGACTTCTCTGGTCTTCTATTCCTCACCCCCTGTTCATGCTAGTCCTTGCTCTTTTCTCACATACTTCTGCCTTAGGGCCGTGACGCTGTGCTTGGATGTGTTCCCTCCAATATCAACATGGTCAGTTCCTTCAATTTTTTTTTTTTTTTGGTACCAGGGATTAAACTTAGGGGCTTTAACCACTGAGCCACATTCCCAGCCCTTTTTTATATTTTATTTAGAGACAGGGTCTTACTGAGTTGCTTAGGGCCTYGCTAAGTTAGTGAGGCTGGGTTTGAACTCAAGATCCTTCTGCCTTAGCCTCCTGAGCCGCTGGGATTACAGGTGTGCACCACCGTGCCTAGCTAGCTCCTTCACTTCTGTCAAATCTTTACCCTGTGTCACCTTAATGATGGCTGCCTGATCACACCCCTACACAGGCACRTGCACACATGCACACCCTTATCCTCTCCACCACTTTATCTCTCCCGGTAGCACTTACTGCCATCTAACAGATACATTAATTTACTCAGCTATTGACTTATAGCGTATCTCCCTCCCCCTTGAATGCAGGGCCAGAAAGATGAGGATTTTTGTCTGGTTTTCTCTTTTTTCTTTCTACTGACGCATTGCCAGTGCCTCAAACAGATGGAAGGTACGAAATCAATAATTCTTCCATGGAAGATGAATGTAGCACTCAATGTACACTGTCAAGTTCACCTGACTACCTGTCTCTCACAACACTGAACATTTTGAAGGCAGAGAGGGTAYCTTACTCAGATTTGCATCCAAATCCCTGTTACTACAGTGCACAGTAGGAACTCAATAAAGGCATGTTGCATGAATGGAAGGGGAGGAGGCAAAGAAAATTTGCTAATATTTATGAATTTTGTGCTTTGATTCAATTCAACAAGTATCCATACAAAGATGAATAAGAGTTAATTAATGATTGAGAAAAAACCCATGGTGCTGGGGAGAGGCACAGATAAACATAAACTCTAAGGCAAGGTAAGCAGAGCCACCATACTGCAAAGGACCAAGAAAAATATGTAGGACAAGATGGGAAAGGATGTGGATTGAAGGAAGCACCTAAAAGGAGGTTGCATTTCAGCTGGGTTTTGATGGTTGAATAGGAGCTTGCCATGCAGATTATGGGGGCTAGAAATGACTCCAGCTCAGGTTATGACTGCCCAAGGGATGTTGGTGAGGATATGAGCTCTTCTGACAGCCCCTTCTCTGCTCTGAAGTTGTGTCCCCTCTATACGTTCACTACAAGGTCAGACTCTCAAGGAGTCTCAATGCTCAGTAAATATGAATAAACTGGAAAGCTACTATATCCCCCACAGTCTTTCTCTCCCTTATCCCCTCAAAAACAAAACAAAACAAAACAAAACAAAACAAAACTCTGTAGCTGATGGCAGAATCATGCAATGGCTTGCCCAGCCACCCTTTAAAGCAGGGGACCCTTCTAAACATTGCTTCTGGATTACTATTGCTTGACACAGCAGCAAATAGAACCAGACCTTCAGGTGGCAGTCACTTAGAGACACATGGAAACCTCTATTCCATGGGTTTTGCCAACAGGCACAGGAGCGAAAATCAATCTAGAAAGTGCTAGAGCTTTTCAACATCAGAGCCCCAAATGAGAACAACAGTGAGATGCACGTGTAAACACACACACACTCCTAGTCAGAACATTTAAATCACAGCCCAGGAGCCAAGTCCCTGGAGTGGAAAGTGGACATCAGGAGCTCCACRGCCTGGGGTAAGTAGCTTGGCCTGGGGACATTGCTGAAAAGAACACAGCATCGGGACCAGGAGATGGGCCCCTGCCATGACCTAACAGGCCTTCTCATTTCCTAATGGCGACAATTCTCTGTGGTTGGAACAGGATCCCTGCCCATCTTTTCCAGAAGCTGGAGGRTAGGCTTGTCTCATTCATTTTTATCTGCTGCTTGCACACCACACACTCCCGCATTTCTGCCCAGCCCCTGGCATACATGTCTCGCTCCACAATCCAAACCCAGCACCTCTCTTCTGTCCTATCCTGGGAGAAAAGATCGCTGACTGTGTGYGGCTCTCCTTCACGGCTACACTGGCCTCTTAAAAATGTTCAGAGCTACACCAGGTGCATGAGCCTGTAATCCCAGCTACTTGGAGGCCGAGGCAGRAGGATCCCAAGTTCAAGGCCAGGCTAGGCAACTTAGGGTGACTCCATCTCAAAATAAAAATACAAAGATCTGGGGATGCATCTCAGGAGTAGCGTGCCCCTAGGTTCAATCTCCAGTCCCAGAAAAACAACAAAAACTGGTCCGAGCATCTCCCMCTCTCGCTCCTGTGCATAGTCACCAGCCAGGGACAGGAGCCTTCCATGGGAGAGCTCCCCACAGCTTTTCCACCCTCCCACTTTTATGCCATGTGCCTCCCTCCTTCTCCATCTGCTCCCTTCCCTTCTCTTGTTTTACTACCTATTCCTCTCCCTCTTCTCTTTTCTTCCTTTCTTTGATTTACTCTGAGAATCAAACAGTTGCCAGTTTGACRTGACACCCTGATTTTGCCAGGCCTTAAAGGGCCATGAAGGGGCTGCAAGTTCGCTGGGAATTTCCCACAGTGCTCTGGTACCTCTGGACCCAGAGTTTGAGGCCAACTCTTTTTAGCTCCCTGGGAAGGTTGCATGGTTGGTGCCAAAGATGCACAGGAAGGATGCAAGTCAGGTGGTACTATTTCCTCTTTCCGGGGGCTCACCCACTGTCCTCATGGAGAATGGCCATCAGGGTTTACGTGACAAGAATTCAGCCTTGTTCTCCATTTTCCAGTCTCCTTCCCCCTTATTCTCAGATATGTGTAGTTGAGACACACACCCTATCTTTGGGTGTTTGCACAAGCTCATCTTCTGCCCGGAACCCCACCTTCCTAACTCATCTGTGGCTGGCCTATTCCTGTTACCTATATAAGTGCCCATGTCTCCTCCTGGTCCTAAAGTCAGTCCTAACTCCTTCTCGCCCTGTGTTACTCTACCGTGTGCACTCAGTTTTATTTTCTTCCTAGCACTCATGATCTGAAATGGTCCCATTTATTTGTTTCTCTCTGTCACTCCAACTATAAAGCAAGCTCCGGGAGGGTAGGCTCTGTGTCCTCCTTGTTCACAACCTCACCCTTGGGTTCAGAATGAAGTGGGGTTCCCAGTAGGCATTGTGCTGAGCGAGTGAACACATGGATATAAACAAAGGTCTCAACATATTCACCAAGAGTTCTTGCTATGGTGTGGAGAAGTGTCCCCCAAGGCCTTTGTGTTAAAGATCTGGTCACTAGCCTATGGTGCTTTTGGGAGATAATAGATAATTTACGAGAGGTGGGGCCTAGCGGGAAGTGTTCTGGTCATTGGTCATGTGCCTTTGAAGGGGATATTCRGACCCCAGTCTCTTCCTCTTTCATGTGTCAGCCATGAGGTGAATGGTTTTCCCACAGGCTCCCCCATGAGGTGCTGCTTCACCACTGTCCCAAAAAGCAACAGGACCAACTGATTATGGACTGCAGCTTCCAAAACTCTAAGTCAAAACAGATCTTTTCCCTTCAGAAGCTGACTCTCTTAGACGTGGRTTCCAGTAACGGAAAGATGACCAATAGTTCCTATGGCCTCCCTCCAAGTCCCGGAAGACAGAAGATGAAGCTCAGCATTCAAACGTTCAGATCTGTCAGTACGTTCTCTGYATTTTGTATGTGTGGCACAGGATCTGCAGTTCTGATTTTAGGAAAAGCTTGAATAATTCCAGTACAGATCAGGATGGGCTATCTCAAGAGAATGACTTCATCTCGGTTTGAACCAGGTTCCTCGTATCAATATTTCCTCTCTGGCGGCATCTATCTCAACATTTTGAATGTTTTATTGTGTCTGCACCTCATTGTAATCTCAATGTTTCGCTGTAAATCACTCAAAAATAGATACATGCAATATTTCTGGTATTAGAATCCGGGAATTCATCCAAAATAATTGCAGGCCTCCAGTTGGGCTCCCAATCAAATCAAATAGGATTTATACTCGACTGTTAAAAGTTTTCAGGGGAAATCACTTCCCTGCTAACTTGTTCCAGTGTCTCTCAATATTTTTATTCTTCCCTCAAGAGAAATGAAGGCCACTGTGATCATGTGCCAGACTCGAATGCCTAAAAAGACCCAAGGAGTTGACGTGGGGACACACACACACACGTGCACATGCTCTGCTTACCAACATAGCCAGGGGTTCCACAGGCAGTGGACATCACATCTCCTTTGCCCTCCATTTTTGACAATCCAAAGTCACTGATCATTATTTTGGATTCTTCATCTTGACTGTAGTACAACAGATTTTCAGGCTAGAAAAAAAAGAGAAAGATGAAAATTATTRTTATTTTTTTAAAATCATGTTTAAAGCTGGGTTAAGTATGGGAAACTCCTCACCAAACTGCAAAACCTGTTCATACTTAAGAAAGTCCTTGACCTTTAGGCACAGCAGGTGCACCAATGAAAGCAGCCTTGGTAGGCATGGTCCAGAGGGCGGCAGGGAATCTGGCCCAGGGTGTTGAGTATTTTGCCTACTCATGAAGATTAACCATATTTTAAGGCCATCTAAGAAGCTGATGCCTCTTGGACTTGAGGATTCAGTTCCTGGTTAAGGAAGGGGGCTTCACAGGACATAAAATCATTTCTGCAGGTGCTCATGTGTTCCTTTCTTATTAGCAACCCTTGCCCGCTACTTTTCTCGAATCCCAGGGCCTCTCTCCCTGTCCTCAGCATCCTCCCATGGTGTCCTGTAGTTGTGGCAGATGGCTGCGTCAGTGCCTGCTGAGACTGTCAGGCACCTGCTCGCTTCCCTCCCTGGGAAGCAGAAGGAYGGCAGCTCCGACAAATCTGGAGCTGGAAGATGCAGTACGTTCCAGCCCAGTGTCCTTAAAGACTCTGAGATGCTGTGTGCCTTTCTACAAAGCATGGGTTGCTTGTTGCTCCTCTGAAGCGCACAGGACAGAGCTCAGACAGCAGGYGTGCTTTTGACATTTCTTACAGTTTCTGTGTTCCTTTCTTCACTGCAGTTCCGGAATGCCTGAGTACCTCGGAAGGCTGAGGGGAGGCAGCCGAGRGATTGAGAGGGGAGACAATGAAGCATCATTTGTCCATTTTATGTCAAGCTGGAGAATCTCATTGCTCAGTGTGTAGGRCTCACAGAGACTGAGTTGCTACAGCCTCGGAGCTTGTCCTTAGTCACTGAGCTGACCACCTGAACACAGAGGACGAACTTGATTTTTTTTTTTTTTAATTTTGAAAGAGTGGCTTCAGCCAGGTGCAATGGCCTGTAATCCCAGCAGCTCAGGAGGCTGAGGCAGGAGGATCGAAAGTTCAAAGCCAGCCTCAGCAATTTAGCAAAGCCCTGAACAACACAGTGAGACCCTGTCTCTAAATAAAACATTAAAAAAGAGCTAGGGATATGGCTCAGTGATTCAATGATTAAACACCCTGGGAATCAATTCCTGGCACCAAAAAAAAAAAAAAAAAAAAGAGTGGCTTTAGTTAATGATGCTGTCCCTATGATAACATCAAGGACTGTGGACTTGGCTGTTGTCCAGGAACATCCACCCTACAGGACGATTATGAAGATTTACTGAGTGAATAATCATGGCTTTCATTTACATGAAACCTAAAGGAAACACAGCATGAAGATTCTGAGGAGGAAAATCCTTTCCCCACACATTTCCCATCCGRGCTTCCTCCACAGCCTGAGGGTGAAGCGGTTGCTTTTCCTATCAGAGATTCCTAGTGAATCTTTGGTTCCTAAGTATCAAATTTTAGGAACTATTCTATTGTTTAGAGTTTAGAAAAGTGGTTCTTTGCACTGTTGTGAGGCAGAATCACCTGAGAATGTTATTAATGACATCATGAATGTGTCCTATGGCACATCTGAGATGGGGCTCAGACATCTGGATTTCAGAGCTCCAGCGTGGTGGTGAGAGGGTTGTGATGTACAGCCACTGCTGTTAAGAAGTTCTGAGAACTGGCCAAGGCTCTGTTCTGGACCAAACTTGAGTCAGGCTCCTCTGATACCTCTTCTCCAAGCCTTGACCTTGGCCTCCTGTGGCTCTCTCCCCAGCTCACCCTGCACAGCCCAGTCCTAGCAAGACTCTGGCTCATCCAGCATAGGAGAATCCTCCACCCCTGGAATCTGATCACGTTCTTCATCCTCCACTTGTCATGTTGTTAAAGAGAAAAATTATTCAGACACTTGTGAAAGATGGTAAGCACTCTTTACCACTATATTGGGGGTTTGCAGTAGGGTGAGATCAAACTCAACCCCAAATACTACAAGTGGAGATTTACAGCCCGGGAGGAGGGTGGGGTCAGTGGAAGAGACAGCAATGTGAGGAAACCTTGGAACTAAGGGAGATTCTGGCTAAACTGAGATTTTGCAAAAGGTGGGCCAGAGGGACATATATTGTGGGTAGGGGGTTAAGGAATTTGGTCAGATAAGATATCAGGTATATGATTTTTGAAAAACTGAYTCAGGAGGATTCTTGCTAACCCTGGACTAAGTTTAAGGCCAAAGCCCAAGATCAGGGCYTGTTTAGAGAGAGCACTCGGGAGCCTGAATGAGGTTGGGCCAAGTTAAAGTTTGGCCAAGGAGAGTCTTGGCCAGTTCTCAGAATTTCTTCACAGCAATGGCTGCACATCAGAATCCCAGTCACCCAACCACCCAGAGCTCTAAACTCCAGATACCTGGGCCCATCTCAGATCTAAAACCCAGATGCCCAGGTCCCATCTCAGAGTTGTTGTCCATTTCTAAGTCGTTGGCTTATCTAAGCAAAGATCTTATTATGTACTTTTTGCAAAAGTCACCCTACCCCCAATGTCCCCTCTTAGTAATTTTTTCATCTAGGAGCCCACCCATAATTGTTTCTGGATTCTAAGTAAGGAAGAACACCCCCTGTTCATGTTGTGCCAGAGCTGAGCTCCATCTCTCTTCTCAACTATGCCAAGTCTTGATAAGGGCTACCTTACCACTTTAACAAGTGTTGACTGAATTTTGTTCTTTAACAACCCAAAGGGGAAAAAAAAAAAACAAACAGTATCCTTCATCCCTAATAATAACAACAACAAAAGCAGCAGGATTCAATAGTCACCGTGACAGGCCTGAAGCCTGAGATGAGATCAAGTTTGTGGAAGGATGCTTTCAGATGAATTTTAAAAGAAAATAAAATGGGCCAATCAGGAGTTGAAATATGAATAAGGCTTAGGAACTGGGGGGAGGGGGATGGTCTCAACCTAAAAGTGTAGGTTGCTCATACTCTTTTCTGAAACATGGATTGGGGATTATCCATTGATGGACAGCATGGATCCTCTCATACATGCATAAAGTGGACTTTTGCTATTTTTGATCTTTAATCTTCCTCACCCCAGGATGTCTACAGCTGTAAAGGTGAGCAGGAAGGAGCGGGAGGCAGATTATCTCAGGCTGCTAAGCAACACTTMAGACAGGCACAGGGCTGCCAGACAGCCAAGAGGCCTTCCCCACACATTCCCCCTAGAAAAGACTCATTTGGGTCAATAGAAAGTTATTTTGAAGAACAATGGCACCTGAGGATGGTCAATCAACTAGTCTTTCCCAGTTTCGATGGATAATAAATCGGCTCAAGTCTAGGGAAAGATAACAAGACTTTTCCTGCAGGGTGGAGGTAGAGGAGCAGGGTTGGAAGGCCTAGAGACATTCTGGATGRGAGGCCCAGGGCTTGTGGCATGGGGAGGGGACCTTGTCACACTGTATTATAACTCTGCCCAGAGTTCTAGAAGAGCCTGGACTCACCTGTAAGATTATTTTGCTGCTTATTACAGCATCTTTGCAAGACAACTGGTGGCCAGTACTCGAGGTACAATATCAGTCTCCACCCTATATAACAATTCCTTTAACAGTCTTTAAAAAGATCTGAATCAACATACTTTGGATAAAGTTAATGTCCTATAGAATCACATTCTTAAACCAGTAATGGTCAACTGGGGGCAACTGTGTTCCCCAGGGGACATTTGGCAATGTCTGGAGATGCTTTTAGTTGTCAGGACTCCAAGAACGGTGCTGGCACTCATTGGGTAGAAGCCAGAGATGCAGCTAAGCATGAGGGACAGGATGGTCTCCCATACAAAGGACGGACTAGCTCCAAACGTCAGTAGTGCAGGGGCTGAGAAACCCCAGTCTAAACCAAGGTTGCAGCTGTGAGTACTTCCTGTCTCAGTCCCTTCATTTTGAAAAAAAAAAGATCAGATGATTGGCCCTGGTAGATTCCAGGGGCAAGGAGACACAAGAACACTTTTCTAGAAGGAGGAAGAAGTTTATTTGCACATGGGGGTAGTGTCCAGGTTGGGCACCAATCTTTCATTAACATCATCAAGCTTTCTACTGCTCTGGCCTAGACCACAGGTGGTTTTAATTTTCTCAGATATTAATGAAAATATAATTTTTCAATCCCCACTTCCTCTACGTATATCAAACCCATCTGTACTTCTAAAAAGAGATCACAAAAATGTACTAAAAATGCTTAAGTTTTTTTCACAGTGATAAACATAGTGGTTTTTGTCTTGGTTTGGGTTTTTTTGTTTTGTTTTGTTTTGTTTTGTTTTTTTTGGTACTAGGGATTGAACCCAGGGGGTATTTACTACTGAGAAGCTAGTCCAGCTGTTTTTATTTTGAGACAGCATCTCACAAAGTTGCTTAGGGCCTCCCTAAGTTGCTGAAGCTGGCCTCAAACTTGCAATCCTCCTACCTCAGCCTCCTGAGTCACGGATTACAGGTGTGCTCCTGTTGCCCACAAGCCTGGTGTTCTTAAAGCGCCACAGGCTGGGAGCACCAAATACTTCTCCAAAAGCATTACATGGGAGCAAAGAGCAGTATCTCCCACTCAGCCCATCCGCCTTTCTAGGAGGTAAATAAACACTGCTCTTCCTGGATGTGGCTTATCTGCTTAGAAATTATTTTTCTAGTAAGCACAGAAAATCAAACCCTCACACCACATCCCTGCAGTCACAACACTAACTTGTTCGGCTACAGCTGCCTGCTGTGTTCTGGAAGCACRGAATTGGCACTTGGTGGAGCTGCAAGAGAGCAATGAAAGCCCCGCCTGCTGCCTGGCCTGGGGGCACCAGGCCAGCTCATCTAGCTTGGCCTTGGCTCTCTGCAGAGCCTCCAAGCCCTGAAAATTAGCTCTTATGCTCATGGCCCATTTCACCCATCAAGAGATCTGCAAAGGGCAAAGGTTGAGAGAACTCAACTGACATCTCCATATCCCCTCATCCAGTGGTTCTCCAACAGAGCTTCCCACACCAGCATGAGCATCACCTGCAACCCCTTTAGATATGAAAGCCCTCCAGCCCCAGGGAGCCCGGCAGAATCAGGACTTCTGGGCCAGGCCAGCAAGCTATGGTTTCACTACCCTCCTAGCCAGTTCTGATGCATGCTAACATTCTGCGTATCTGAAAAGAGATCAATAAAATAAAATAAAATAAAAGGTCCTAAAATCGCCTTTGGCAAGGAAAAATGGAAAAATGAGAGAGAGAGAAATTGATACTTAGAAGAAAATTCCACACAAAGAGTCAGTGTGTGTGTGTGTGTGTGTGTGTGTGTGTGTATCCAGGGCCTTGCACATGCCTGACAGGTGTTCCACCACTGAGCTATATACCCCTACCCAGCCCAACTGTGAGTTTTTATAAAAAGAAAAGCTACACCATTTTATCTCCTGACAACAAGAAACAGATAAATGAGCAGATGCTGAAGTTCCATTTTAACAAATATTTATGATTGATTCTTGATATTGACTCAGATTCCCCACAGTTGGTGTACAGTGTGGCTTCGCTACAACACGGTCCTTATATCCATGCTATGGGTGGTGGGTGTGCAGGCTGGGGTGGATTCTCTCTGGCCAGGTGCGTTTAGCTCTGGGGCCTGGACCTGTAACTAGGGTAGCTTGGAGCTACTTAGAGCACGGTGACGGGGCTGCTGCTTTTCAGTGTTCCTYAGATTCATCTGGGTGACATCTATGCTTTGTTACCTACATGGACCTGGGTCGGGGGAGCGGAAAGTGATGGGAAGGTACCCACAGGAAGGCCTGGATCTTTCAGCACTAATGGATGAAGGGTCAACATGTCAAAGCCTCATAAAAAAACGATGAGGAAGGAAGCCGCAGGACGTTGGCAGAAAGCTGTGCCTATAGCTCATTGAGCCGACCTTCCTGCAAATCTTCCATGTCCCCTCTCTCTCCTCTCCTGGTGCCTGCCTCTTGCTCCCTCTCTTTCATGTGCTGTGCTGTGCTGTGCTGAAATGGGGGCTGGAACTGGGACAAGGCTCTGAAGAACTAAACTTGGGCGAAGGGCTTTGATGGTGTTTATGTCTTGAACAGAATGATCTTTCGAATGGGCTTGAAGTAATACACAACCCAGTTCTCTGTGGCCCTCTGGTTCCATCGTGGTGATAAGATCTCCCAAACAAGGATCAGCCACATTGAGCTTCATCTTGTTCCAAGCTCCTTCTAGGCCCCCAAAGCAATGACAACTAAAAGTACACAGACACCCGAAGTGTGTCCCATCCCTCTCTATTCAAAGCATCATTCCTCTCTCAGAATCAGTCCTCTTGAACAGGTGCACTGGGGGTTGAGGAGTAACTGGGGGTTGTTGCTAAGCAACGGCCTCACCTTGAGGTCCCTGTGGACGATGCCCATTCTGTGCAGATAGTACACAGCATCCAGGACCTGGCGGATCAGAGTGCTGGCATCCTTCTCTGTGTAGAATCCCTTCTCCACTATCCGATCAAACAACTCRCCACCGGATACTCTGTTTTTTAAAAARAGAAGAAATTAAGAGTTTGAGAGGAGCTGTTATAATTACTCAGGGTGATAAAAGACCCAGACTGCATTTCAAAAATAATCCATTTTTTAGATTTAGATTTTGCCCTACCTCTTTCTCAGAAGTGTTCTCAGGAAGTGTTCCTATGTCATGACAGTGGAAATGTTCAGAACATAATAAAAGGAATAAAGCCAAACCAGGATCCATGGACTCGCCAGGCTTAAGAAATCTCTCCTGACCTTAGCCTCTGTTCTGCTGTGATGATATAAGGTCAAAATACCCTTCSTGAAGGTTGGCACCATCAGATAAGAGGAGGGGGGAATCCTGTCTAGAAGCTTCCTTTGTGTGAGAAAGAACCCTTACACAAGGGGGGATCTATGGGCAAAGCCTTGGCCTCCCAGCAGGACATCTGGGTTTTTGACCAAGTTCTGCTTTTAATATATTGAGTGGCTAAGCACTCCTTGACTCCTGGGACCTCAGTTTTTGCCTCTGTAAAGTGAGAGCGTTAATCTAGTTAGCCATTTTCAACAGAGAGCAGGCACATGCCTTTGGAGGTATCAGGACGTCCATCAAAGTCATTTGAGATTTAYAKAAGAGAAAGAGATAAATAAAGACASTGTATCACATTATCACATTGCTTTGCTTTGGTGTTTATAGCACAATTTCATTTTAATTTGTTTTGAAATTCAGAATGTCTTTTATGGTTGGTTTCTTGGTTCGTTCTTTGCTTATTTGTTTGCATTTATCAAAATGGGGACAAAGGTCAAGGCCTGGGGGACAAGCTCCACAGTCCCCTTCATCTCTGAGATTTCATGCTTCTCTAGGTCTAATGAAGTAATGGAATGGTACAGTCCAGAAAAGAATCAACTAACTGCCTTCACATTTTTTAGAGTATACACTTCTCTAAGAAAAAAAGTGCTTTGTTCAAATCATCAAGCCTTTCTAGAAACAAACTTCAGGGACACATTAACACTATTAAAAAGAAAAAAGAAGAAACAGATTTTTCAAGAACAACATGAAACAGAATTATATGAAATATTAAAATCATAAACCAGCTTTGAAACAACTCTACAACTCTAATGCAATAGAAGATGCATCCTGGTAGTAACACATAAGGTATTAATTTCTACAAGTCATAGCAATTAATGTGCAAGAACTGACCCACTGAAAACTTCTTTGTAAAAAAGTTAATAAAGAAATAAAAAAAAAACAATTGCAGCTATAAAAGGCCTATGTGTTAGTTTTTTTTTATTACCTAGAGTCATTCCAAGTAATATTGTGCTTGGATGTTTCATTTCCAAAGCAAACTGACAAGCTAGATATAAGAAAGGAAAGGCACTCAGGAGAAATAAAAAGCAATTCAAAGAGTGAAAAGAAATGGAAACAACAGAAAAGACACTACTTTTTGACAGCTATGTTGTTGAAAAAATCCATCCTTAGGTAATCCAAGGTCCCAAGACATATTCTCCTGGTAACTGAGACTAAGTTTGCCTCATTCCTTGTTTTTCTAGAACTTTTCCCAGTGAGTTTCAAGGTCTGAACCTTTGCAGAACTCAAGGATGTACTACAGGAAATAGATGGCTGCCAAGGGCCAGGTGAACCCGGATGCCCTGGAGGCTTACACCTTGTTATTTATTGAACACTCATTTGACACTTATGGGGTGCCCCCTATGTGCCAGCACAGTGACTATGCACACTTGGTGGCAATAAGGCAGCATTAACTGCCAAGGGGGAAAGTCTGTTGTGTTCCTGACCTTGCACACCATCTACCATTGGTCCACCTTCCAGTGATGGCATAGCTAGCTGATGTTCCAGTGCTTTCTCTCCAATGGCCTGCCTGCTACCACCRCCTCTCCTCTGCAGCTGTTGTTGGAGCTGGGGCAGGAATGCTTACCCCTCCTGGCAACCTCGCCTCCTCCTATGAGCACTCCACCTCCCAAGCCTAGCCCAGTCCTTTGTCTCCATCAAAGCTGATCTGCCAAGTTCCTTACTCTCTCAAGGTCCCTTTTTTCCTGCTACAGGATATATATGGTATTGATGAATTCTGTTCAATTTAAGTATGTGCACGGCCAAAAGGGCCACAATCCAGTGAAAACTAAAGCATCAGTAMGGAAAGATATGTCACATCACAGAGCCTCCATGTTCTGTGCATTTAATATTCTGCTTCTTAAACTGCAAATTGCACCAGGGCTCTGTTTTTGAACATTACTCAGAAATAATTTGGTTTCCTTAGAAACCAAGGCACAGGGGAAATGTTTAGAAACTTGACAATAAAAAAAATATGTAACAATACTAATTAAAAAGTCTAAATTTGCAAATCATTTTAGACTTTTCAACGATCTCATTAAGCGTGCTTTTTTAAAGCCCACTGTTAGGGAACGAATGTTCCCCTGCATTCTTACTTGGAAGCTGTAAGCCTAATGTGATGGTATTTGGAGGTGGAGCCTTGGAGAAGTAATTAGGTGTCAATGAAGTGATGAGAGTAGGCCCTGGGGTTGGAATTTGGGCTCTTATGAGAAGAGGAAGAGAAACCAGTGCTCTTTCCCTCCACCATATGAGGACACAGTGAGAGGGCAGCCATCTGTGAGCCAAGAACGAAGATCTCACCAGAATCAGAACCTGTTGGCACTCTGATGTCATACTTCCAACTCCCAGAACTGTGAGAAAATAAATATCGCAGCCTATGGTATTTTGCTATGAAGCCTGAACTGAGACACCCACTTATTCTCAAAACCACTTGAGAGGCAGTCAGGGCTAGTATGATGGTCCAAGAATCACTGCTGAGGAAATAAATTTAGCTTCATGGTGAGGTGTCACTCTCCAGTTGGGAGGACAGGCTTTGCTTGGCTGCTGTTTGGCTGCAGAGCTGACTGACAGGTCATTTTCCTGAGTCAATAACCTTCCCTGGGAAACCTCCTATGCACGTGGTTTAAAGCTYCTTGTTAGAAATGGAATCCTCCAATTACATCATCCGAAAAATGTTGGAAAGGACTAGGGTCAGGAGATTGGGGGAAAAAGAGTAGAATCATAACARATCAAGAGATAAAATGGAAACAATGGTAGCTGTCTTAGTCTATTTTCTGTTGCTAAGAACACAATACAACCGACTAGGAATGTTATAAAGAAAAGAGGTTTATGTTTCTGGTCCAAGATCAAGGGGCTGYATCTGCAAAGCCTTCTTGCTAGCAAAGTCCTGAGGTGGTGTGGGTCATCATGTGGAGATTTGGGGAGTTTATAAGAGGCCCAGACAAACTGCTTTTTTGACCCATTAACCCAGTGATTTTYTTAATCACAAGAATTCATTAATCCTTTATTGAAGGCAGAGCCCTAATCACCTTTTAAAGGTCCTACCTGGTCCACTTATTAATATCTCATACTAAGTATGACATTTCAATATATATTTCAGAAGGGAAWAAGAATTTTCAAATCATAGTAGTGGCTATTTAGGGAGAGAGACTCAGCTTCAAGGGTGCAAAGGTGGGAAGATGAATGAAATGCYAAACATTAAGGAAGCAGAAGAAAGAAGAAACGGTCAAAAATTTGCTGCTCTTCTGAATTCCATCTTTGAAGTTTATTTAGAACAACCTGTCTTGATATTAAACTTGGGTTCACTCAGTCTCCAATCTTCCTCACCCATTACAGTGTACTGCTATTATATTGTATGTGGATCTGAAATATACAAATGTGAAATAATCCAATATAATAATCTCAGCAAAATTTCAATTTATTTGCAAATTTATCAGTAATGCAAATTCCTTCAAATTGAAAAAAAAATTGTCAAGAAACATAAAAGTTGGGGCTGGGTTTGTAGATCTAACGTTACCAACCACACATTTGTTGTAAGGAAATACAGGCGTTATTGGTGTAAAGTGGTTGAGCGCTTGCCTTGCATGTGTAAGGCACTGGGTTCAATCCTTAGCACCATAAATAAATAAATATAAATAAATAAATAAATAAATAAATAAATAAATAAATAAATAAAATAAAGATATTGTGTCCATCTACAACTAAAAAAAATATTCAATAAAAAAGAAAAAAGAAACATAAAAGTTTCTGGGTTGAATAAACAATAGCTCTTTGTCAGTATACCGTGTATTTTTTTTTTTTGATGGTTCTGGGAAAACCAGTTATTGTTTACATGCACTYGAACTTCACCTGATTTTAGGAGATAATTATCCTTTTATTTTAAAACTCATTGCTTATTACATTTAAAAATGTTTATGGCCTCCTAACATTACCAACCACACATTAGTTATAAGGAAATACGGGTGTTATTGCTGTAAAGTGGGCTCCATCAATCTATTCCTCTAGAACGAAGTCAGATGTAATAAAATAACATTCAGAAGGCCAAATGGTACAGAGCTGCGAGTACTCTGAGAAATACTTGCAGCAGTGCTGGGTCATAAAAAGCAGTGGCACAGAAAATATGCCTTGACATTCATGAAGGCAGAGACAGTGGAGAGGACACAGGTGACATGCTTCAAGAACAGTGTGGTCTGGATGTGCCCCAGAACTAGGCTGGTTACAAATATGTTTTCTAAGAACCATCTGCCCCTTTACATTTAGTCCCAGGGGAAGTGCTCTTGAAATTACAGGCTGTAGTTCAGGAACCATTTTTCAATCAAGAAACCCCAAGGTCCAGAGGACGGATAGGTACATTTTAACCCAGTTAAGTGAAAGGAAGTTTCCCTTCTCCATCTTTTCCTCAGTCAAGCCCCAACCTGGCAGTGTCTGGGATTCCCCTCCTCCCAGGCACCATCATCGGGGCTGGTGCCTAAAATCCCCACGGCTGTATCTAGCTTTGGTCCCTGCATACCCTGCTCCTGGGGGATCAGGGTACCCTCTCCAGGGAGATCCAGACTTCATTTCACACAACCTTGCCCTCAATATGTCCCCCCTTCAACAAATACTACTTTATTAATTTAAAAAAAAACCATAACCCTTTATTCTTAAGAATTCCATTTCACAATATCTGCCAGGTCTTGATC